AAAAAAAAAAAAAAAAAATGCCCCTCCGCAGCATTCCCAAAATTATTTATAATCAGCCATATTCCACACCCCCCTCACTCCCAAGCAAGGTCGTGCCTGGCCCAGGGAGTCGCAATGTGCCAGGGAAAGTCATGGAAAAATTTAAAGCCCGGCCCTGGAGCCATCTGCAGATCATCATCACCCGCCCCAGGCCCTGCAGGTGCCTCCCAGGGAGCTGCAGAGTTCCCGGGATACTCCCCTTGGAAAGGTTTGGGGGAGGGAGTCAAGGATGGGGACAAAGACACCAAAACCAAGGAAAAAAAAAAATAAAAAATACAAAAACCCCCTAAAACGAGGCTGGTTTGGAGCATGGCAGCAGCGAGTTGGGTCTGGCTGGCCCCGGGGGAGGAGGGCACAGGGATGGTGTGACTGGAGTGACGTGGGAGCCAGACGGGATTTCCTGGAGCTGGGCCCTGGCAACAACACCCTCCCCTCCTGTCCATCCAGGGGCTTGGGGGGGGGAAAACGTGGAAAACAGCCACCCGGGAAGAGCAGGGATGCTGCAAACCCCGGGAGCAGGCTCGGTGCAGCTGCGGATCTCACACCCTGCCCTGGAGGAGATTCCCAGCCCGGCAGGGAGCTTCATTCCCGGGATGCAGCTGCACAGAGGCCTCTGGAAAACAGGAGCCACCAGCCTTCACCTCCCCCAAATCCGCAACCTTCCTCCCTAAAATCAGATCCCTGTTTCCCCACCCGGCACTGGGAAGGCTCCCCAGGCCCTCAGCCAGGAATGGCAGCCTTGGGAAGGAGGAGAGACCCTTCCAGGAGTGACCTTGCACAGGGCATTTCATCACATCCTTCGCCATTCCCGAGGCAGGGAATTGCCTCTCTCCACTCCCAGGGAAGCAGCACAAGGTGGGAAGGTTTGGCCTCGTGTTCTGTGACCCTCTGACACCTCCAAGGTCACTTCCCAACCCAGAACGGGATTTTCCCCCTCAATCCCACAGCCCAGCGGAGCCAGGAGACCCCCATGGGAAAACCCATGGAAAACCTGCAGGTCCAATCAGGACACCATTCCCAGGGATGGATCCCGCTGCTCATCCATCAATCCCAGACCCAAAGCAAGCATCACCTTTGTCTCTGCGGCGCTCACACCCCTTCCCACACCCATTCCCACGCCCCATTCCCATTCCCTGCCTGCTGCTGCACCAGAGCCACATGACAACAGCTCCCAGCATCCAGCTGCCCTCCCCTCCTGCAGGGACAGGGCTGGCCCGGCTCAAATTCCACTCTTCCCACGCCCAGACACGACTTGGGAGACACTGGAGCGACGCTGGAAGGACCCGAGGCCGGGAATCGCCACTGACACCCCCCCACACACGATCCTGGAAGGACCCAAGGCTGGGAATCAACACTGACCCTGGAAGGACCCAAGGTTTGGAATCGCCACTAACCCTGGAAGGACCTGAGGCCACAGATCACCACTGATCCCTCTCCACGATCCTGGGAAGACCCCAAGGACATGGATCACCCCTGACACCCCCTCACACGGAGCCGCCGGACGAAGGGAGCGTCGCCAAAGCCACACCAGCAGCTCCCCAAGAGCCTGGAATTGCATCCCAAAGGTTGTGCTCGGGCTGGAGAAATAAGCCCCTTTCCAAGTTCACCTCTCCCCACCCAGCTGGGAGGAAAACTGAGCCAGGGATCACGAATCCTGGCCGGGTTCCAGTCAAGTAACCCAACCACCTGCTCCACACCTGGGCTGGGGCTCTTTCCCAACTGCTCCTGTTTATTCCCCAGCTGGATTGCTCCATTGCCCAACACTGAGTCACGAGAGCTCTGCTGCCCCCAAAACCCCTTCCCCCTCCTTTCACTCTTCCTTTCAACCCAGAATTAACCAAACAAAAAAGTGAGGAGGGGGGGAAAAAAAACCAACGCCCTGGAATTTCCCCTGGAATTACCCCTGGAGCGCTGAAACCGAGCCAGGATCCAGGATTGCGACATTCCCGAGCAGGGACACACTTTCCCTAAGTGCCAAACACACACAGTGTCCCGTCCTGCTCGCTGGGTGTGCACCACAAAGCTCCCAGATCCCAGCTTTAAACAGCTTCACCCCGAACTTTTCCCGGGAAAAGCAGCTCTTCCCTACCTCCTTGGTGAGGTCTCCGTTCGCCGGCGCGGCCACGGCTCCCAAATCCTCCAGCTCCTCCCCGAATCCCTGCTCGGCTCCGCTCTCCCTCACCCCGTTCTCGGCGCTGCTGCCATCCTGCAGGCCGGATCCGGCGCTGGGCTGTCCCCCAGACACGGATCCCTCGGGATCCCTGTGCACCAGCCAGGCACTGACCTCGGTGCTGGGCACCTGGAACCTGTCCAGGGCCCTCACCTGGTTGAGCAGCCGGCGGGCGGTGAAGTAATAGTCCAGGTCCACGCTCTTTGGGTGGATGCCATAGCCATCCAAGGTGTTCCTCAGGTTGTGGAACTGGGTCTGGGTGTAGGCAGAGCTCTGGCCCAGGATGATCTCCCGCAGAGGAGGGAGCTGGGAGTTCAGGTAGGTGTCCACGTCCACACGGACCCCGATGAGGCTGAGCAGGATGGTGAACTGGATGAGGCCTTCGGTGAAGTATTTCTTCAGAGAAAGCATCTCTGGTGGAGGAGAGAGAAGAGAAAAAAAAAAAAACAACAAACAAAACAGGTGGAATGTTTGGGAATGAACAACAACAACAACAAGAAGCTGCCGGCGGCGGGTGAAGCCTCCACACCAACAGGTTGGTTGGGTTTGGCTTTGCTCTGCCCCACTTTCAAGCAAGCAAAATAAAAGGGGTGATTGGCATTCAGGGCAGCGCTAAAGAAAGCAAAATAAAAGCTTCAAGGATGGCCGAGGATGTTTAGGAACGGGCAAGGATTTCTGGTTCGGGAGGGCTTTGTTTTCCCGTTAAAATTCTGGGGCTGGGTGGTTGAAAAAAAAAAACAAGGGAATCAAAGGTTTGAACCTCCAGAAGCGACAACTCTCCCCGGCAGCTCCACCCTCCCCTTTCCCTTTGTGTTTTGTCACCCAGAGATATAAAAATCCATGTGACTTACTGTCCAAAAACTCCACATACAGCGCCTTCCTCTCTCCCCCCCTAATTCCCCACGCTCCAGGTCGGGCTCTGCTCCTTCTCTCCCCCCGTCTCCTGCTGCGGCCGCTCTTCCTTCCCTTCTTCTGCTCCCGAAGCCTTTTGAAGGAGCCTTTTATGAGTCAAAGGTCCCGACCATGGGAAGGTCCAAAGACTCCTCCGCTCCCGGCTGCGATTTCATCAGCGGCTGAAATGTAACCAGAGAGCAAACACGGTAACGCACCGCGGCACCACCCCGTGCGCGGGCCCCGCTCCCCCGGCGCCTTCTCCCTGCGAAAAAAGCCAGGGAATCTCGCTGGAAAGCGGAGTTACCTTCGGCGACGGCGCTTCCCCTCCCCGAGCTATTCTTAGGCCGGCGCGTCAACTTCCCGCTCTCCCAAGGAATCCGGCTCCCTTTTCGCTCTCCCCCCTCCTTAAGCCCAGTTTTCCAGCCGCTCCACAAGGGAGGTTTTTTTTTCCATATGAAAGACCCCCCCCGGGGCCCGCCCCGCTACC